TACTGTAAGTTGGTCGAATGAATGCTTCCTCATCCGGAAGCTGACCGAGCAGACCCGAGCAGCAGTCGAGAGGAGCCGAGCATCCCGAGTTCCCGTTAGCCGGCAAATCGAAATCTCTTCGGTCAAAATAATTCCCCTTTAGCGCAATACCGCTTCAGTTGCGCCACTTATGTGACAGAGAAGAAGAGTATGTGACAGACAAGAATAGTCAATTCTAATGTCTAACACTTAATGTGGAGAAAGAGATGTCCTGTATGGGTTGATTGTGCGTTGATCTGTTGGTAATGCCTCGGGGTTCCGGTGGGCATGTAAACAAATGCATAATGCTGCGCTATACTTTGTGGCCTCACCCGGTTGCATAGCGACACTTATTGTTTAGGTGTCTTTTAATAAGCAGGTAGTCATATCATTAGCTAAAACTAGCTGGATCTCATCGATATGGACATAAGCGCGAGTGAAGTCTAATCTGACGGGAGAGAGAGATCAGCTGCTGCTGACGAGTCGACACGCAGCTCTGCATGATCACATGCAGCGGTGAGCGGAACAAAACACACACTTCAGGTTAGAATATCACACGTAGCTATTTTAATTACCTCTCAAACTACCTAAACTAGTTATAGATATGTTTAGTTTTACTGTCGGGTTACTCATTACTGGATCCGCGAGCTGCATAATACTGGCATAATAGATTGCCCGATCGGGCAACCAGCAGGTGAGGCTTCATTGCCCGAGCTAAATACTAGATGGCCCCGGGCCATCGGGCAGTCCTTAATGTCGAGCCCTGGTGTGTGTGTGTACAGTTATCGTGTAATGTCCAACATTTTTGTGATTTTCTCTGTATGATAAGAGGAGAGGAGTTGAGTATTATGAAACTTGAGCACCCAAAAGTGTTGTTTTTCTTGTGGTTTGAAAAAAATAGAAAAGAGAAGCTGTTTTATTTCCAGCATCCTTAATACAAACAGCCCCCTAAATTGTTCCAGAGACTTCTGTGGGCACTGTGACATGACTTTCCTGCTCCTCCACGTTCCTGAAAGGCAGGATTCTTTGGCAGGTCGGGCCTGGCACTGAGATCTAGGGCTCTTTAAATGGTCTCCCCGAGGCCAGAGGGGGGGGGGGGACGCAGGGCTACCGACTGATCTGTGAACTGAGGGGAGTGAAAATACTTTAATGCTAGAAAAATGTAAGCTATGAGTAGAAAAACAGAAACGCTGCAACAAGTAGGCCTCTCTTTATCTCTCTCACACACACACACACACACACACACACACACACACACACAGTCGTGAATTGTCTTACCCGGGACACAACGACATGCTGACTGCAGTGGGGTTTGAACCTGTGCTCCCCTGTTTCCAACACACTAGTCCACTGCGCCACACGCCTCACTGATTCAATAATACCTACTTTTAATGTTTGGGTTATCCTTAATTAGTTAATGGTAAAGTGGGACAATTAAGCTTCATCTTTATATAAACTACCAAAAAAATCAATGGGATGTGCTGTCCACCTTCTCCCGTCCTTAAAAGGGTGATTTTCTGTTGTTGTTATGGTTGATTTCATTCACAAGGCCCACATGTTAAAAGC